ACAGAAACAGAAAATCATAAAGATAATCAATAAAACTAAGAGCTGGTCTTAGGAAGGATCAATAAAATTGATATACCTCTAGCTAGACTCAAGAAGAAAAGAAAGAAGACAAATCACCAATATTAGGAATGAAAGTATATCAGCACAGATCCTATAAACCTTAAAAAAGATAAAGAGAAAATTGTGAATAACGTTATGCTAGTAAGTTTGACAACTCAGATATAATGCACAAATTCCTTAAAAGACACAAACTACCAAAGGAAAAAGATACCCTTGAATAGCCTTATCTCACAAGGAAACTTAATTTGTAGTTTAAAATCTTACCAAAAGAAAGGTGGGTGGCACAGATGGCTTCATTGGCAAATTTTACCAAACATTTCAGAAAGAAACAATGCCAATTCTACGCAAACTCCTCAAGAAAGAAGAGGAGAGACAATTCCAGCTCATTTTATGGATCTGGCTTTACTCTGACACCAAAACGTAATAAAGACATTTCAAGAAAAGATAACTATAGATCATTACCCTCATGAATACAGATGCAAAAGTCTTTAATAAATTTTTTTTTTTTTTTGAGACAGAGTCTCGCTTTGTTGCCCAGGCTAGAGTGAGTGCCGTGGCGTCAGCCGAGCTCACAGCAACCTCAAACTCCTGGGGTCAGGCGATCCTCCTGCCTCACCTCCCGAAAGCTGGGAGTACAGGCATGACCACCATCGCCGCTAATTTTTTCTATATTAATATTAGTTGGCCATTAATTTATTTCTATTTATAGTAGAGACGGGTCTCGCTCTAGCTCAGGCTGGTTTCGACATCCTGACCTCGAGCAATCCGCCCGCCTCGGCCTCCCAGAGTGCTAGGATTACAGGCTTGAGCCACTGCGCCCGGCCCGTATATGGTATTTTTATTTTCATTGATTCATGAAATTTTTAAATTTCCTTCTTGATTTCTTCATTGACCCATTGATTGTTTGGGAGCATGTTTAATTTTCGTGTGTGTGTGTGTGTGTGGTGTGTGTAGTTTGTAAGGTTCCTCTTGTTATTTTTTTTATTTTGGCATATTATGGGGGCACAAATTTTAAGGTTTCAATAAATGCCCTTTCCCCCCTCCTTCCTCTTGTTATTGATTTCTAGTTTTATTTCATTGTGGTCAGAGCAAATACTTCATATGATTTCAACTTCTTTGAATTTGTTGAAATTCAAAGTTGATGCCTAACATATTGTCTATTCTGGAGAATGTTCCATGTGCTGATGAGAATAGGTATTCTGTAGCACTTGGGTGAAATGTCCTATAAATGTTAGGCCCATTTGCTCTAGCGTATAGTTTAACTCCAATGCTTTGTTGATTTTCTGTCTGTTAGATCCATTCATTACTGAGTGGAGTGTTCAAGTCCTCTACTATTTTGTATTGCAGTCTAGCTGTCCTTTTAGATTTATTAATGTTTGCTCTACATACTTGGGTGTTTCTATATTGGATGCATAGATATTTATAAATGTAATATTCTCTTGCTGGATTGACACCTTAATCATCATATAGTGACCTTTGTTTCTTTTTACAGTCTTTGTAGCTACTCCTGCTCTTTTTTTGGATTTCATTAGTATAGAACATCTTTTTCCATCCCTTCTTTTTCAGTCAATCAATGGGTATTTATAGATGAATTGGGTTTCTTGTAAGCAGCATAGTGTTGGCTCTTATTTCTTTATCCATTCAGCCACTTTCTTTTTTTTTTTGAGACAGAGTCTCACTCTGTTGCTGGGCTAGAGTGCCGTGGCATCAGCCTAGGTCACAGCAACCTCAAACTCCTGGGCTCAAGCAATCCTTCTGCCTCAGCCTCCTGAGTAGCTGGGACTACAGACATGTGCCACCGATGCCCAGCTAATTTTTGTATATTTTTTGTTGTCATTATTTCTTTCTATTTTTGTAGAGATGGAGTCTCAGTCTTGCTCAGGCTGGTCTTGAACTCCTGAGCTCAAATGATCCACCGACCTTGGCCTCCCAGAGTGCTAGAATTACAGGCGTGAGCCACCACGCCTGACCTATTTTGCTTTTTGAGACACATTTTGCTCTGTTGCCCAGGCTAGACTGCAATGGCGATCCAGCAGTAGCTCACTGTCAACTTTCTAACTCCTGGGCTGAACGCTAATCTCCTGCCTCGGCGCCCTGAGTAGCTGGGTCGAGATAGGCATGTGTACCAAACTTGCAATTTTGCTTATTTGCGTTGTGTATAGATGGTTTCACTATGTTGCCCAAGCTGGTCTTGAACTCCTGGCCCCAAACAATCCTCCCACTTCAGCCTCCCAAAGTACTAGGATTACAGGCATGAGCCACCATGCCCAGCTTTAGCCACTCTATGCCTTTTAATTGGAGAGTTCGGTCCATTTACATTCAATGTTACCACTGATAGGTAAGGGCATACTGTTTCCACTTTGTTACTTTTTTTCTGGTTATTTTGCATCCTCTCTTCCTATCTTCCTTTGTGGCTAAGTGGTTTTCTCTTGTAGTATGCTTCAATGTGTTGCTTTTTAATTTTCCTGTATTTATTACCTTTGTGAGTCCAGTTGTTGTGCCTTGGGGTAGTTTCATTTGGGTTTAATCTATTTGGTGATCTCTGGCCTTCCTGTACCTGGAAATTTATGTCTTTCTCAAGTATTAGAAAGTTTTCTGTTATTTCTTTCAATAAGCTTTCTCACCATTGCTTTTGCTCAGCTCCCTTTTGAACACCAGTAATTCTTAGATTTACTCTTTTGTGATACTTATCCAAATCTTGTAGGAATTCCAATCTTTTTTTTCTCCTCTAAGTAGTTTTCAATAGCCTGTCTGTAAGCTCATTGATTCTTTCCTCTGCTTGATGCATTCTGTTCTTGATAGCCTCTAATAAATTTTTCAGTTCAACGAATAATATTTCTCAGTTCCAGGATTTGTTGGATTTTTAAAATTATTTCAATCTCTTTGTTAAACTTCTCTGAAAAATTTCTGCATTGTTTTTCTGTATTATTTTGGGATCACTAAGTTTCCTTAAAACTGCTATTTTGAATTTTTGATCAGCTCACCTATTACCATCTCATTAGACTTGCTACATTGGATCTTTGCTCTGTTTGATGAGATCATGGTTCCCTGTTTGCTATTGGTTCTTGTGGGTGTACATCTGTGTTTTCTTTTTTTCTTTAATGTGCTTTCACATTGAAGGATTATTTATTCCAGTCATTTCTGTCTGGCTTATTTTTACTGGATAGGATTCCTTAGAAATTTCTTTGCAATACACCTGTTGAATTGGTTTTTTTTTGAGTCACTGCCTCCTTTGAGGCACTAGATGGTGCCTTAAGCCTAGGTTTGTTTAGCTCTAGCAAACTTTGGAGCATTGCCAGTCCTAGATGGAGGAGAGCCCAAAGGGCGATATTCTGGCAATGTGGGAGGGCTGGCTAGGAGTTTGTGCCCAGGGGACCTGTGGAACCAATCTCCTACAATGTGATGCTGCCAACAGCCAGCCACTCTGATTGGGTGCCTTCTGCTGAGATACAGATTAAAGTTTCCTGGTCTGAGGATGCTAGTCCTGCCTCCCCGCTTTGGATGTCCTCCGAGTCTTTCTCCCTTCAGGCACTCGTGATTGGTTCTCGTGGGTTGAGGCAGGGACAAGTCTCCTGCTTGGGAACCCAAGGAGGTGGGATCCCCCTCAATCTCAATCTTTCCAGTGTAGTAACTGTGAGTTGGGAAAATTTTCCACACACTTGGTGCTTGGCCTATTGGGGAAAGGGCATCATAGATATAAAAACTTGATTCTCTTACCATTTGTGAGATTTTTTCACTTCTTTATGGCCCCAGGAACTGTCTCATCTTTGTATTTGAGTTCTGGGACATTGCTGGTGATAATTTCAGCACTATATATTTGGTTTTGATATTCTGTGGGGAAAACTAAAGCCAGATTGCTTCTACTCTGTCATTTTGGTGACATTACTTTCAAGTCTTAATACTTTTTCTTGTCTAACTCTATTGATTAGTAACTCTAGGAAGAATGTTAGAAAACAGTGGTGATAATGAATATTCTTCTTTTGTTTCTAACATTACAAGAACACTTTGTGTTACTCCATGAAAGCACAATGCTGATTTCCAATGAGATGTATTTTCTCATATCAAAGGTATCTAACTATTGACATTTTCAATCAAGAATGGATGTTAAATTTTGTCAAGTGCCTTCTTCATCATCCTTAGAGTTGATCATATGATTTTCTCCTTTGACCATTAATATAGTAAATTACAGCAATAGATTTCCTGATACTGAACCATCATTATATTTCTTATATAATGCCCACTATATAATGGTATATTATTTTGGTGTCATACTGCTGGTTTGTATTTAACCTTGTTTTATTTGGTTACTTATAGGTGGGCTTTATTTATAGTTTCTTACTGTGTATCTTTTTGGATTTCAGCATCAATATTATGTTAATTTTTATAAAGATTAATTTCTTCTTCCTCTTCTATACGCTGAAACAGTTTTAATGTTGGAACATTTGTTTAAACATTAGACAGTGAAATTACCTGCATCTTTAAAGTTTGCTGGGGTAATTTACCTGTGAAGCTATATGTGCCTGGTACATTTGGGAATGAAGTGGGTAGGAAGCTTTTTACTTTTGTTTCCTATGATAACTGGCCTCCTTAGATTTTTCTATCTTGTTTGGGCTAATTTTTGGTAATATATTATTTCTTGAAAATTATTAATTTTATTCATATATGTGGATATTTATAGACAACTAAGCAAATTAGTATCTTATTCTTTTAATAACCAGTGTGTATATAATTATGCCTCTATTCTCTTTTGTAGCTTTGTGTTTTCTCTCTTTAAAAAATTATAAAATAAAACCTGGATCTCTTCATGAGAATATAAACTTTTACTAGCTATTCTTGATGAACTGAAATAAAAACTACCATAGGCATACTAAATTATGGAATAATAGTTACTTGTGTATATATATGTAAGCTGCTTACCAACATTTTTTTAATAAAAATACCTTTTTTGATCAATTTCTTGTTGCTGTTTAACATGCTTGTTCTCAAATTCACGAATATTTTCCACGCCAATTTCTTCACAGAAGTGTTGGAAAATATCATCTTCTACCTTTTAAGTTATTTTAAAACAACTAGTTTAATAAGTAATTTAAAGAAATATATAGACAATGCTTATATATAAGTTTTTCCTTCAAGATTTTCCTGGATTAGGTAAAAAACTAATCCCATCAGCCACTACTGTATTTTGGGGAGCCAGTGCTTTCTCTTCCTTTAACTCCATAAACTATGTCCATCTACCTTCACTGGCCTTATTAACTGTTTTGGATTTATGAAATGTTTAATATAAAATTAGAATGATTGTATTTACTTTAGACACATCAAAAACAACATTCTAAAATAAAGATTTTTTATATATGAATAATACTATAATGTCTGTTAGTAAACAACAGAGCATCCAGAGAATGATTACCAGGGCTGGTCTCAAATCTATAATAATATGAAGTGATTAAAGAAATTAGGGATATTTAACCTAGAAAAGAGATAATTAAAGAGCAACATGAATGTGCTTTCAAATCATGCAATAAAAGCAGTGGATGAATTTGTTTTTTTTTTTTTTGAGACAGAGTCTCAGTCTGTTGCTCTGGCTAGAGTGCCGTGGCGTCAGCCTAGCTCACAACCTCCTCAAACTCCTGGGTTCAAGCAATCCTTCTGCCTCAGCCTCCCAAGTATCTGGGACTACAGGCATGCACCACCATGCCAGGCGTGAGCCACTGTGCCCGGCCTGCAATGGGTGAAATTAATAGAGTGGTGGTGTAACAAATAACTTTCTAAGGGTTAGAGATACCCAAGAATAGAATGAATTAAATCAGAAGTTTCTCTCACATTATAAACAGAGGCTAGATGACCATATCTTTATTGTCCAGAGCAAAATGCTATAATTTTTACAACAGGCAAGGAGAGGTTGTAAAGACAGTATTCACAGGTCACTGTCTCTTGAGATTGGCAATAGTGATTCTCAAAAGACATAAGAAAATTAATTTGGCAAACCAAACTAAATAAAACTTAGCTTACGTGTTGTTTCTGATAGGGCACTATCACCCTCCTTTGCTTTAGCACATATTTAAGAAGCCCTAAATCTGGTATCTGGTCTAGAATTGTATATGCCATTTAGTAATAAACGTAACATTCATGACCTTATCTATCTTTTTTTGAAATTCTTCAATTCTTTGTTGTCGTTCTTTAATTCCTTCACTCAACATAGTACATTGAGACTCAATATTCAATAATTCACTTTGTAGCTGAGATTGTTCCTAATAACAAAAGAAAAGTTTTCTTTTTAATATGGCTTATTTAACTTTATAAAGTCAAAAATGTGATAGGTGTCTTTTAGAATAAAAGAGGAATCAATGAGATAAGATTAATTCAGCTGGATAACAAGATTAAACATCATAAAAATAATTAAAGGACTATAATATAATCTTAATCATGGGGTAAAGTATCTAAAGATTACATGGTGCTGTACAAATGTAATTCCTGAAATTCTATTAGTATGTTTTGTTTCTAACTTCCATCAAATTTTATGTAAGTCTTTATTACCCGGTAAAAAGCAGCAAGGTGTTTCTTTTTAATCATGTCTAGTTCACTTTGTGAATATTTGAGTCGTGTATTAGTTCCTTGTACTAGAGTCTGTATTTGTTTCAAATCTGTTTCTTTGCGGAGTGTCTTCATTAAATCCTAAAAAGAAAGAAAAATATGAGAATATTTTATAATAGAAAAGCACTTTTACTTTTTTAAAATTTGTTTTTCTTTCACTTTTCAAAGTATTTTCATTTGTAATAATTCACTGTTTTTTACATACAACCAAACCCACTTACCTCCCCTTCTTCCGACAGGAGACTAAGCAATTAAGTACATTAGCCATCTGTAGTAACCAAGATGCCATACAGCTTATTCAAAAAACTAACCACTAACAGAAAAGAATTAGGCAAGAAAAATGAAAAATGAGGAGGGTGTATTCCATCCATCTTGAATTATTAGCATATATGGGATCATATGATACACACTGCCTTGCTTTCAGTACATTCTTATCTTTTTGCTTGTCTCCTCCATTCCTTTCTTCCTTTGCTTACTTTATTATTCAACTAACTCCCTAGATTTTATGTTTTTCTCCAAGTCCTTATGATACACAAATATGTGTGTATACATATTCACCTATGTCTACTGGCTTTATCAGGGCTTTCACGCAAATTTAAATCACATGGAACACGCTTTTCTCATTTAGTCACTCATAGGAGTCTATCAGTAAAGCTCTAAAATCATCCTTGTAATGGTTGCATATTATCCCAGAGTTTATATCAAAATTATTCAACTATTCTCTTAATGATGGCCATTCACTTTGTTTTCAGGTTTTTGCCACCACAAACAACACTACAACAGCATACCCCCATGTGTACTCTCAAGTACTATTGTTTTTGTTTCCATGCAATAGATTCCCCAGGGTTGAGACTGATGGGTCAAAAGTGTTCATGTTTTTATTTTAATAGCTGATATGGATTGTTTCCCAAAAGCTGTAACAATTCACATTTTTATAAATAATGTATGAGTACTCTTTTCCTCATATCTCCACCAGCAATAAGCATTATATCTATTTATTTTTCCAAGTCTTACTGATAGGCATAAAGTAATCTTAATTTATATTCCCTCAAATACTATATTCTATATTGAGCATTTCCTCATGTTTACTAGCCATATGGATTTCTTCTTTTAGTGAATTGTCTGATCCTATCCTTTGCCCAGGTATTTCTATGATGTCTTTTTCATGTCAACTTGTAAAAGAGTTTAGGACAGAAATTATGGTCTTCATTTAAAAATTATTTTACAATACATTTAAGTTCTTAATCCATTTGGAATTTATTTTTATGTAAGTCATAGATGGGGCACAAAATTAATTTCTCCAGATGTACCAATACCACTTATTAAATAATCTGTCCTTTTTCTACTAAACTAAATCATCTTTGTTGAATACTGAATTGTCAAATATAGTACCTCTATTTCTAGAATTCCTACTGTTTCATTACTTTGTCCATTCCCATGCCAATACTATATCAACTTGATTACAATGGCTTTTCAGAGTATTCTGTAGGCCAGTAAGGGAAGTCCCTACTTCATTCTCTTTTGTCATATTATTTGACTAGTCTCAGGAAATTCTTCATTTGTAAAAATTAGAAAATCATTTTTCAATTGAAAAATCCTTGGTAGTATTTTAATTAAAATTGCATTCAAGTTATATTTTAATTGGGAGGACTTCTAACCTATGAATTTAGTAAGTTTTTCCTTTCAATAGTTTCACATCCTTAAGATTTAGTTTTCTAAAATAATTACTGTGCCTTTACATTGAAACTTACTCCTATTGTGAGCAGAATATTTTCCCCATTTTAGATGCTTCGTGATAGTATGAAGAAAAACTACAGATTTTCGTTTACTTATATAGCCCTCATACTATCTTATTAAATCTAGTAGCTTTTAAACTGTAATCTTATCATCAAGTTAGTTTATCCCTTCTTTTCAAAGATTTATATAAATTATTTCATTTTGTGCCTGACTGTATTTATTGTAACTTCCAAGACTACACTCAGTATTAATGGTGATAAATAGATACTTCTCAATTTTTTTTTTTTCTTTTAAGAAAGGGTCTCCATCTGTTGCTTGGGCTATGGTGTCATCATAGCTCACTGCAACCTCAAACTCCTGTACTCAGTTGATCCTCCTGCCTCAGCCTCTTGAGTAGCTGGGACTATAGGCACACACCACCATGCCCAGCTAATTTTTTTGTTTTTTGTAAAGACAGGTCTCACTATGTTGCTGAGGCTGATCTCGAACTCTTGGCCTCAAGTGATCCTCTCAGCTCGATCTCCCAAAGTGCTAGGATTATAGGCATGATCTATTGTCCCCAGTTTACTTCTTTAACTAAAATGGTTTTAGTGTTCTCACCACTTAAGTAATCATTTCTGTTAATTTTGAATAAGAGCTATTTATTTAAATAATTTCTACCATTACTCTTTAACTTAGTATTTTAATTACAACTAGTTGCTAATTTTTTTTTTTTTTTTGAGACAGAGTCTCGCTTTGTTGCACAGGCTTAGAGTGAGTGCCGTGGCGTCAGCCTAGCTCACAGCAACCTCAAACTCCTGGGCTCAAGCAATCCTCCTGCCTCAGCCTCCCGAGTAGCTGGGACTACAGCATGGCCACATGCCCTGCTAATTTTTTTCTATATATATTATGATTGGCAATGAGTCTTTCTATTTTAGTAGAGATGAGGTTGCTCTTGCTCAGGTTGGTTTCGAACTCCTGATCTTGAGCAATCCGCCCACCTCAGCCTCCCAGAGTGCTAGGATTACAGGTGTGAGCCACCGCGCCTGGCCTAGTTGCTGAATTTTATCAAATGTCTTTTTTATACATAATCATATGAATTTTCTCCTGCCTTTAATACACTGATGTAATGCATATATGTTACTGCTTAATTGAACATCCATGCATTGTGAACAAATTTCTATCAGTCAGATGTATTCTCTTACCACATTCTGATTCTTCTATATAATACTGACATTTTATTTAGAAATTATGCATTTAACTCATAAGGGATATTAAAGTTGTACTTCCTTTATAAAATGCCTGGGAAGTGTCTTTTTCTGTGATCTAGAATGGCTTAAATAACATTAGAATTATATTACATGAACTCAGCTGTAAACCATCTGGTCCCATAGTCTTTTCTTTTTATTGTGGCAAAATATACAAACATATTTTTATTTACCATTTTAGTTTACAGTTCAGTAGTGTTTAATTACATTCACATCGTGTAGGATCAATCTCTAGAACTCTCTTCATCTTGTGAAACTAAAACTCTAAATCCATTAACAATTCATTCTCCCCTCGATCAGCCCCTGGCAACCAGTGTGTCTACTTTCTGTCTCTATGAATTGGACTACTCTAAGTACCTCACATTAGTTTTGGAATCAGACAGTATTTGTCCTTTTGTGACTAGCTTATTTCACTTAGTATAAAGTCCTTGAGGTTCATCATGTTTATAGCACGTGTAATTTCCTTTTAATGCTGAATAATATTCCATTGTATGTATATACCATTTGTTACCCATTCATCTGCTGATAGACAAATTATTTCTACCTTTGGCGTATTGCGAAATGGTGCTATAAACACAGGTGTAAAATATCTCTTTGAGACCCTGCTTTCATCTTTTAGGTACATACCAAAGAATTACTGGATCATATGTAATTCTATTTAATTTTTTGAGGAGCATCACTATTTTTCATAGCAGCTACACATTTTTCTGAACCTTTTTCAGCAGCAGATAACAGTGGCTTAAAATAGGGTTTTTTTCCTCACAAATATGAGTGATGCAGTGGCTCAACAATGGCATGCAACTACCCAACTTTCAGCTCTTAGTACAATGCTTTTATCCTCATACTTGCTTTTTTATAGCAAGATGCTACTCCATCTCCAGGTCTCCTGATTGTGTTCTAGGCACGATAGAAGAAAATGCAAACGTAACACTAACACTCTTGATTTTACTCATTGGTCAAAACTGTCACACAGGTACCCTAGATACAGGGAAACTTAGGAATCAAGTTGCTTTAGTTTTTCACATTCCTATAATAGAACAAGCAAGGAAGGAAGTTGTGGACAGAAAACTGGACCAGCCAACCATATCGATTCCTATCAAGTGTCCCTTTTTCTGTTCAATGTTGGTAATTCATATTTTCTGAAAGTCACTAATTTCTTCCAGATTTCAATTTTAAAACTATAGTTATTTGCATGTTAGATTTTTAAAGTTATTATATTTTAATGTGTCACTCCTGATCATGTATGTTTACTTCTAGCTTTTCTTTTACTAGGGTTGCAAAGAGTTTATTAGTTTTTCAAAAGAACCAGCTTTAGATCCATTTGTTCCTCTTCTATTTTGAATTTTCTGTCAGCTTTAAAAATTCCTTTTTAAACTTTGTTTATCTTGTGTTTGTCTAATTTCTTTTCTTTTGGGGGGGAGACAGAGTCCTTGGCTGGAATGCAGTGGCCCAGTCAGAGCTCACTGTAACCTCAAATTCCTAGGCTCAAGGATCTCCTCCCTCAGCCTCCCAAGTAACTGGGACTACAGGAGAGTTGACATGATGCCTCGCTAATTTTCTATTTTTAGTAGAGATGGGTCTTGCTCTTGCTCAGCTCGTCTTGAACTCCGAGCCCAAGCAATCCTCCTGCTCTCGACTTTCAAGGTGCTAGGATACAGGTATGAGCCACTGGGCCTGGCCGGTTGTTCTAATTTCTTAAGGTGAGTGATGAGTTTTCTTATATTTCATCTTCTTTCTTAATAATAAAGGCAATTTCCTTCTTATTGTACTTTTAGTCTATCTCAAAGATAATGGTAGACAGTATGTTCTATTCACCATTTTCAAGACATTTGTAATCTACCTTTTGATTACTTCTTTTTTTTTTTCTTTGAGACAGTTTCACTTTGTTGCCCAGGCTAGAGTGAGTGCCGTGGTGTTAGTCTAGCTCACAGCAACCTCAAACTCCTGGGCTCAAGCAATCCTACTGCCTCAGCCTCCTGAGAAGCTGGGATTACAGGCATGCGCCACCATGCCCAGCTAATTTTTTCTATATATATTAGTTGGCCAATTAATTTCTATTTATAGTAGAGATGGAGTCTCACTCTTGCTCAGGCTGGT